AAAGGATTCCCCAGGCAGCACTCAGTCAGACCTTGGAGCTGCAAGGCCATTAAATACTAATCAAGGTGATTAATTGCAACATTCCCATTTGTCTCCAACAGACAAGAGTTCTTACTCTCACCCTAGACATTCTTCCACAGATATATAAACCCCACTTGGCTAGTTTCCAACAGACCTCACAACCTCTGAGTATGTCTTAGGTGTGGGCGAAACGTCAGGAGAGAATGCTTCTGGAACATGGCCAGACAGCCCGGAAAACGCACAGCAATCCAGTTTTTGCTAATGTTTGGGTGGAATTTCCTCAAGGCTCATGGTGTCGTGCTCTAATTTATGGAGCAGCAGAAAACAAGCGGACCCGCTCGTCTACGGGTCTTCCTCCCATTCCCACGTGTGTTAACCCCATGCTTGTCGTCGACCACAGGGCTCCACTCCACTGGACCTCCTGGCCGGCTCTCCAGCGCCCTGAGGAACACTCCGCAAAGCTGAGTTTCTGAAGCCTTCCGAGGTGGGAGGTCGGCAATGGTTTTAGGAGCTGATACTGGTACACAGACCAGCACTTTGAGTAGTACTCCTCTTCGTCAAAAATATATGAATAAGACAACCTCTGAGAATGTCTGCTATAGATGTGGGCGAAACGTCAAGAGAGAATGCTTCTGGAACATGGTCAGATAGCCCTGAAAACTCACAGCAACCCAGTGCCTTCAAGTTGCTTTTGACTGATGGCGACCTTAAGGCCAACCGGATCGTGGGGTTTCCGCAGCAAAATCTTCTCAGTGGGTTCAGTGGGCCTCCATCCGAAGCTGAGAGAGTGTGACTTGATTGAGGTCCCTCAATGGGTGACCTCAATCATCCCAGGAGCTGATCGCAGGTTATGGGCCCTTCCAGATAAGGGCCCTTCCACACAGCCCTATATCCCAGAATATCATGGCAGAAAATCCCACAATATCTGCTTTGAACTGGGTTATCTGGGTCCACACTCGGATAATGTGGGATTTCCTGTCTTGATAAGGATTCGGAGCAATGGCTTCAAACTACAGGAAAGGAGATTACATCTGAACATGAGGAAGAACTTCCTGTTTAGCAGTGGAACTCTCTGCCCTGAAGTGTGGTGGAGGCTCCTTCTTTGGAGGCTTTTAAACTGAGGCTGGGTGGCCATCTATCGGGGTGCTTTGAATGCGACTTTCCTGCTTCTTGGCAGGGGATTGGACTGGGTGGCCCAGAGGGTCTCTTCCAACTCTATGATTCTATGAAATCAGATCATCTGGTTTTTCAACAACATTTTATTATGGTCCAAATACCCTTTTTGCAGTTTAGGCATACAAAGTATGCAGATAATGGGATTAAGAACATCCAGTTGATTGAACACAGAAATTGATAAAATTTACAACAGCAAAAACTGCTTTAAAAACATGTTGGCTCCAGTGTGTGTGTGTGTGTATAATATATATATATATATATATATATATATATATATATATATATATATATATATATAAAAACATGTTGGCGATATATTATATATATATCGCCAACATGTTTTAATATATATTATATATTACAATATTATATAATATATACACAGACACATTGGCTAGAATACCAATCAACACACTTTCTAGCCAAACGACTATCCAAAAACGTTCCAGGAAAACATTTCCGTTCAGTATTTTTCGATCTAACATCAAAACCCAAAAACCCGAATCTCTCTCTCCCCCCCCCCCCCATATGTGTTGTATTGGTCATATTATTTACCACTGAGGAAGCTTAGTGTCATGCTCAGGCATGGGCAAACTTCGGCCCTCCAGGTGTTTTGGACTTCAACTCCCACATGCATGATATGGAAGGCTGACTGTCAAATATCAGGAGGGACATCCGCAATAATAAGGGACACTTGCCAGCCCTTTAAGCTCCCAAGAAGACGAGGTCCTTGACCCCTGATCCCAGTTCAGCTTCCCCTCAAGAAACCTTAAATTGGGAAGGCCCCGCAGAAACTTGTTCCTGACGGTAATAATAATAATTACAATAGCAATAGCAACAACAACAACAATAATGCACTCTTCAGATTGAATCCGCTCCAGAAGCAGCTAAACCAGGCCTGGGCAAACTTCGGCCTTCCAGGTGTTTTGGACCTATATATCCTATGGGATATATTGAGCATGGTGATCAGATCATGATATGAATAAACATAACAGTTTAAATAATGTACCAGTAAGGCCTTCTCACGGACCACCATGAGAATTTGGGGGGGGGGGGGGCTGAAGCCCCCCAAGCCCTCCCCCCCCCCGGCTACATGCCTGCCTGGAGGGCCGAAGTTTGTCCAGGCCTGAGCTAAACCATAATTCCAGTTGTTTCCCACTCTCTTTTCCTGTCCGAGTCCGATTTCTTTTGCTTTCTACAACGGCAATGAAATCACCTCCACCTCCCTTCAAAGCGTAACACCTTTTTAATGGATCCGAGTCTCAGTTTTGGGACAAAGGCAATCACAACCACAGCGATCAGGGTTTGGGATCAGGACCAGGCTGATCCCAAATCACAACCACAACGATCAGGACCAGGCTGATCCCAAACCCTGCTCGTTGAGGTTGTGATTGCCTTTGTCCCAAAACTGAGACTCGGATCCATTAAAAAGGTGTTACACTTTGAACCAGGCTGACCTGGATTATATACCTCGAAGGGGGGATTTGGAATCTAAACTGGAGGAGGAGAGTCGGATCTTTTAAAGCCGCCACTCAATTTTTGGGCACTTCCAATATTTTTTTTAAAAAATCACTAGTTTTGAAAAAGCCCGACTTAAAAAAATCGATATCTTCTCAAACAATGGAGTCCGTTCCTTCTACTTCGGCTTCTACTTTGTTTTTAGAATTTGTTTTAAAAGGAGAGAGCCTTCGAGGTGGACTGAATTTGGGAAAAGTATAAAAGGAGAGTTTTTTCTGGAAATGGAGAATAATGGAGAGGTGAGGGAAGCACGCATCTGGGCTGCTTTTGCTCGCGAGAAATGTTCATGCGTGTTAAGAAGCGGGAATGTCGGGCTGAAAAGCCGAGAAGTAAAGAAACTCTTTGGACCTTCCTCCTTCAAGCCTGGTGTTTATTATTAGCTTTGCGATCAGGTGCCAGGGAGGTTTCCAGGGATGCATCTGCAGTTTGACGCCGCCTTTACTACTATGGCTCAATGCTATGGGATCATGGGAGGGCTGCTTTGGCGAGGCACCAGCGCTCAATCGTTGCCAGAGAAGGCAAGACCTTGTAAAACTGCAACTCCCACGATCCATTGATAGCACTGAGCCATGGTAATAAATGTGGGGTCAAAGGCATTCCTTCTAGAGACCCGCCTTGGGTCTCTTTTTCAGAGAGAAAAACACGCGATATAAACAACGAAGACGGCTGGATCTACATTGCAATATAATCCAGTTTCAGAATGCCAATTAGTCAGTCATAGCAGAGCACTTGATGAACCAACCTGGACACAGGATATTATCTGAGAACATAGAAATGCTGGCCCACTCTAACAACTACCATGTCAGATTACCCAGAGAAGGCACTGAAATTCACAAGTATGTGGACAAGTTCAACAGAAAGGAGGAAACCATGAAAAATGAACAAAATCTGACTACCTGTATTTTAAAAAACTCTAAAATCAGAAAGTAAATAAATAACAACAATCAGAAACAGGGGAATTCCAGACAAGAATCAGTCAGGGCCAGCTAACACCTCCCAACAACGGATCCTCCAGGCAGCAACCACCGGGCTTTGAAATTGCAAGGCCCCAGCTAACACATCCAAACAACGGATCCTGTAGGCAGCAACCACCCAGGCTTGGAAACTGCAAGGCTATTCAATGCTAATCAAGGTGACCAATTGCAACATTCACACTTGCCTCAAGCAGATAAGAGTTATTTCTCCCACCCTGGACATTCTTCCACAGATATATAAACCTCACTTGCCTATTTTCCAACCGTTCTCAAAACCTCTGAGGATGCCTACTATGGATGTGGGTGAAACGTCAGGAGAGAATGCTACTTGAACATGGCCATAGAGTTTAGAAAACTCTGCCAATGAACTGTTTTGAAACTGATTATATAAATCTGGATCTCCACTTCTATATCATCCAGTATCTCATCCCAGTTTATCTTGCTTTGAACTGGATTATTTGACACAGCATCCAATGCAGTAAATCTGCATTCAGAAACTGGATTATATATTGGGTAGATGGGGCCTAAATCTACACTGTCATATAACCCAGTTCAGTGCAGTTAATTCAGAAACTGAACCCAGTGTAGTAGATGGGGCCTAAATATCATAATAACTTATATACTGTTTGATACAGTGTAGATCGGTCCTGGTCCAATTTGGGACTTTCAGGTGTTTTGGATTTTAACTCCCACCATTCCTAACAGCCTCAGGCCCTTTCCAGGAGGAAAAGGAAGGGGCCTGAGGCTGTTAGGAATGGTGGGAGTTGAAGTCCAAAACATCTGTAGGGCCCAAGTTGGACCAGGCTTGGTGTAGATGCACCTCAGGCTGCTGTTGAGACCAACTCGGGGTTGGGACCTGCTCCTGGTGTGGGAGAAACCCCCGACTTCTCTTCCTGGGCCCTCCACCTGAGCTCCCCCTCCCCTTTGGTGCCTTTTTGTCTCTTCTGGGAATCTCTCGTCCCTCTTTCCTTCCTTCCTTCCTTGGAGTCATTGGCCCCGTTGGAAATCGCCCCTCTGTGATCCCTGGGCTTTGAAATGCAAGGCGGCCTTCCCATGCAAAAGAGCTTGGCCCAATAAAAAAAAGAGAGAGAGAGACCGGGAAAGAGAGAGGAGCCCTTTCCTCAGGGAGGTGCTTTGGCAAAGCCAGGCAGGAAGAGCGACCTGAGCCAGAAGTTCAGGTGAGGCGCAGGCAGGCGGAGGAGGGGAGCAAAGAAGGAAGGAAGGGAAGGGAAGGAAGGAAGGAGGCGGAGGAGGTCGGGCGCAGCATGCCCTGGCGGGCCCTGGGCCAGCCCGACCAGGAGGAAGAGGAGGATGTACGTGGGCTACCTCTTGGATAAGGAGGCCAGCATGTACCCCAACCCGTCCCGGCCCCCGGGCCTCGGCTTGCCCCCGCAGAACTACGTGCCCGTGGGGCCCCAGTACCCGGAGTTCGCGGGCTACCACCCCCACCACCCGCACGCCCACCACGTGCCGGGCCTGGGCGGAGAGGCCCACCCGGGGCAGCCCTCGGGGGGCGCCTGGTCCTCGCCCTACACGCCGCCCCCGCCGCCCCCCAAGGAGGACTGGCACCCCTATGGCCCGCCGGGGGGCCCCTCGGGCAACGCCGCCGGCCAGCTGGGCTACGGCCCCGCCGACTTCAGCAGCATGCAGCCCACGGGCCTCCTGCCGCCCCCGCCCCCCATGGGCGCCCCCGGGGCACCCCAGATCTCGCCAGGTGCCCAGAGGCGGACCCCCTTCGAGTGGATGCGGCGCAGCGGGACCGTCGCCGGAAGCACCGCCGGACACAGCGGTAAGGGGCCTGGACTCTCTCCCCACTCCTGCTTTGCTTTCCAGTATCTTCCGTTCCTTGACTTCAGAGTTTTCAGAGTTTGGCTCCTTGAGGGATCCAGGGCCAATCCAGCGAGACAGTTCCTACTCAGAAGGAGAGCCCTTGCCAGGACAGTCAGACCTGTCCTCTCCCAACTTGCATGCCCCTCACACAGACTGGCAAGGGACCATACTTTAGGACAGTGGCTCTCAATCTTCCTCATGCCGAGACCCCTTAATACAGTCCCCCATGTTGTGGTGACCCCCAACCATAACATTATTTCCACTGCTACTTCATAACTGTAATTTTGCTACTGTTATGAATCCTAATGTAAAGATGCAGGATGTATTCTCATTCACTGGACCAAATGTGGCACAAATATTCCTTGCGCCCAATTTTGAATATTGGTGGCGTTTGCCGGGAGAATTGATTTTGTCATTTGGGAGTTTTAGTTGCTGGGATTTATAGTTCACCTACAATCAAAGAGCATTCTGAACTCCACCAATTATGGCATTGAACCAAACTTGGCACACAGAACTCCCCTGACCCACAGAAAATACTGGAAGGGTTTGGTGGGCATCGACCTCGAATTTTGAAATCGTAGTTCATCTACATCCAGAGACTCAAACAATGATGGATTTGGACCAAACTTGGTACAAACACTCAACATGCCCCAACGTGAACACTGGTGGAGTTTGGGGAAAATAGACATGACATTGGGAGTTGTAGCTGTGGGATATATAGTTCACCTATAATCAAAGAGCATGTTGAACCCCAACATCAATAGAATTGGGCGAAACTTCCCACACAGAACCCCCATAACCAACAGAAAATACTATGCTTTCTGATGGTCTTTGGTCACCCCTCTGATATCCCCTTGCGATACCCTCGCCCCAGGGATCCTGACCTTCAAGCTGAGAAATGATGCTTTAGAGGTAGGACACATGCAGAAAGATGCATGTTTAATCCCAGTCATTTTCAGCTTCTGCATGAATAAATATGTAGCAGGGACTAGGACATCTTGAGATATGGGTTGCTGTGAGTTTTTTGGACTGTTCGTATCTTGAGAAATAGTTGGAACCAGAGCAGATAATATTAGATGGAGAAAGCAGTACGCCATCTATTAAAAGCCGAACTCAGGGCCGAAGCTGGATTCAGGCCCCTTCTTCCCTGCCATATAAAATCATGATAATCTGCTTTTATATGGCAGGGTAGACCAGGCATGGGCAAACTTCAGCCTTCCAGGTGTTTTGGACTTCAACTCCCACAATTCAAAGTCCAAAACACCTGGAGGGCTGAAGTTTGCCCATGCCTGGTCTACACTGCCATATAATCCAGTTCAAAGCAGATAATCCATATTATCTAATTTGATCATCTGAATTATATGGTAGTGTAGAAAGGCCTTAGATGGACCCGACTTAGTATACAATTGTCACCTATACACATCTCAATATCGGAAGTAGTGCATGTGTTTGTCTCATGTGGAGAGACGGGAGAGTAATTGTTCTAACTTTAGTGCCACTTGTAAACTGACTGGGAATAGTCTGAGGGCCACAGGTCACAGTTTATGAGAAAGGCACAGTTTTAGACCCACTGAGGTCAGTGTCTTGAATGTGTATAACTCTCATGTGTCAATCACATTGGTAGTAGTGACCATAAATGTATTTACCTTGAATTTACCTTGAATTAGTCAGTCTGTGCTGAGGTTGTAGTCAGATTTATAGAAAGTGCATTACTCAGTTAAAGCTACAGTCATTTCAACACAGAACTGCATTCAAAGGAGAATGTTAAGGGGATAAGATGGCAGTGACAATAACATGTAACAACAATTGGGCATGATTTATGGATTTTGGCTGTTTGTATGTATGTTTCCCTCTCTTTCTCATCTACACTGAGAGGCATGATTAGAACTCTCTAAGAATTATCTGATATTTCAGTTGTTTTCAGTATCACTGTCAAACACTTCACCCAGATTCTGACACTGAGTCACAAGTTAATTTTTCTCTTGTCTAGTAAAACCACAGCCAACCACACTTATAAGGTCTACATTGTTAAAATCCTCAGTGCAGGTAAATATCATCTTTCAGTGACATAGAAAAGAAAATGAAATTGAACTGATTACCAAGTTTGTTGAACGTAGTTTTTCAAAATGAACATCTTATTATGTCTCCCAGTTTGTGGGGCATTTTCTCACTTCTTGATTTTAGTATGCAGTTTAATTCAGAGTTCAGCCTTGTTGTAGTATCTTTCAAATTGGTTCTGATTGACCCTAAGGTAAAGCTATCTCATTGTTCTCTTTACAACATTTTTTCTGTTGAAGTTTACCATTGCCTTCCTCTGAAGTTGAGAGTGTGTAATTCCATAAGGTCACCTAATAGCTTTCCATGGTTTGGCAGGATTGGGACCCTGGCCTCCAGACTCATCAGGCCCTTCCACACAGCCCTATATTCCAGAATATCAAGGCAGAAAATCCCATATTATCTCAGTGTGTACTCAGATAACCCAGTTCAAAGCAGATATTGTGGGATTTTCTGCCTTGATATTCTGGGATATAGGGCTGTGTGGAAGGGCCCATAGTTCATGCTCAAACTGCTGCACCACATTGGCAGTTTTACAGGGACAATATTTGAGACCAACAGGTATTTGTTCTTGTAAAAGCATTCATGTTTCGGTTTGATGCAGCATTCTATACCATTTTGAAATATGTATATTTGATTTTTACTAGATGTGAAGTGGTTCTGTTGTCTGCTCAGTTTCAAAAGATGTGCATATTTAGAAAAGGAAATATGCCAAGAGGGGAGAATGGCATATCTTAATAATTCTATTTCTTCTTACTCCATGGCTAGAAATTTAGCCAAACTTCTGAGGGCTCTTCCACACAGCCCTATTTCCCAGGATATCAAGGCAGAAAAATTCACATTATCTGAGTGTGGACTCAGAAAACCCAGTTCAAAGCAGATAATGTGGGATTTTCTGCCTTGATATTCTGGGATATAGGGCTGTGTGGAAGGGCCTCAAGTTGAATGATTGAAATGCTCTTATAGAAAACTCATTTAGTTCATTTATTTCCTTAGAAGTTTTCGATGAGAGGCTGCTGTGTCTTGATTGATTATGGACTCAAGTTGCAGAACTTTCTTGGCTCTTTTCTAATGGTAATTTGGGGAAATTGCAAACTATGGTTTTCTACTGAATTGAGGCAGTTGTTTTCAGTATCAAGTGAAAATGTTATGTAGTGCTGGGAACTTTGATTAAGTATGTGGAAAACTCACTATACTGGCTTTGCTGAAAAATCCTGAACTGGCAGTATCCTGTGAAGTAGCAAGGATGTTATGTATTCGCATAGGAAAAGGGGTTAGGTGGAATGGGATGTGAATTGTTGTCATGTGCCTTCAAGTCCTTTTCAATTTATAGAGATCCTAAGGAAAATCTATTGTGGGGCTTTTTAGGGCAAGATTTCCTCAAAGGGTTCCTTTGCCTCCCTCTGAGGCTGAGAGAATGTGACTTACCCAAGCTAACCCAGTCGGTTTCCATGACTGAGTGGGGATCTGAACTCTGGTCTTCAGAATGGTATTCCAGTTCTCCAACCCACTACACCAGGCATGGGCAAACTTGGGCCCTCCAGGTGCTTTGGACTTCAACTCCCACAATTCCTAACAGCCTCACGTCTCTTTCTTTCTTTCTTTCTTTCTTTCTTTCTTTCTTTCTTTCTTTCTTTCTTTCTTTCTTTCCTTCCTTTCTTTTCTGCTTGAGCAGTTTAGGGGGACAAGGAAAGGGCCCGAGGATGTTAGGAATTGTGGGAGTTGAAATCCAAAACCCCTGGAGGGCCCAAGTTTGCCCATGCCTTCACTACACCATGCTGGCTTTTGCAGAGATGGGAGGATAGGGAGTAAGAAGTATTTATTATACTTATATCCTACTTTCTCTAACTGAACTTAATGCAGTGTACTTCACAGGTAACCTTTAGCCCATATGCTTCCTATATCCAACCTTCAGCATGGTTGTTGCATCACGCACCTTCAGATCCTCTCCCAATAGCATGTGAGGTATTTAAGGTTATATCAGCCCTGATTTTCATTATCACCCTTCTTTCCTTACTCATTCAGTGATAAATGGTTAAAGCACTAACTCCTTGGACTGCTTCATTGGGAGCACATATGCTGGGAGTGTGATATCTTTGGATACAAGGAAGCATAAGAAGAAGACTGGGCATTATCATATGAAAAATGTAGACATCTGAAGTATACCTACACCTGTGCATGAGAGACAATATGGCAACCAGTGAATCCGATATATGCTTTGAGGTGGAAAAAGAAATTATGTATATGGTGCTATGAAGCGTGTGCATTCATTTCTAGAAGTACAGGCATCTGTACATCAGTCATATAACCCTTCCACACAGCCATATAACCCAGAATATCAAGGCAGAATAATATGGAATTATGATTGCAATATTGTGTCCTGTCTCCCGGGAGGAAGCCTTGTTTAACCTAGGGCCCTTCCATACAACCATATAACCCAGAACATCAAGGCAGAAAATCCCACAATATCTGCTTTGAACTGGGTTAACTGAGTCCACACTGCCCTATAACCCAGTTCTAAGCAGATAATGTGGAGTTTTGTAGGGCTGTGTGGAAGGGGCCCTGATTGTAATGGGAAGTTGCCTTGTTCCCCTTCCAGAGTTCTGTGCTCCACGGATTTCAGATCAGGAGAGAAGAACGTGCCCCCCTTTTCTTCGTGGATGACCGACCCAGAGGGAATTTCCCGGCAGGATCTCCACTCCATATTTCTCTTAATTTCTTTTTCAGGGCAGTTTGATATTGCAAAGTGTCAACAGTCCCCTGAGATAGGCTGATGAGGAAAGGCTTTGGACATCAATTAAGTGGCATATGCTGGGAGTGGAAAATTCTTGTGTGCCTTCAAGCCGCCTCTGGCCATAGCGTCGCTCTCACCTGCTTTCTCTGACCAGATTTGTTCAGGGGAGG